TGCCCCCAGCTGTCAAAACCCAGTCTAGCTTGTACAGCAATCCTTGTTCCTCCCCTCAATTAGCCCTGCTTTCCACTGACACTCTTGGGAAGGGTGGTGATGGGTAGTGAGGGAGAGAGAACTGATCAGACTTGAGAGGAATGCAAAAATCCCAGATGGCAGGGCCTCCCAGGCTCTCCTAAGGGCCCAATAAAGAACATAAATGAGCTCCCGTCCACCCTGCAGGACCACGGGCAGCTCGGACACAGAGGCAAGTCTGAGATGGCACAGGACTGGGCAGTGCTTCACTCTGTTGGGCACGGTGTCAAATTCCTACATGTCAGCTATTGGCTGCAGTTAAAAGCTGCCCCTGGAGGTAAAGTATCATTTATGTTATACGTCCTGACCATTGAGATTTACTAATGAAAATAAAACTGAGGGCACTACTATATAAACATTTCTGATGCCTTAAAATGTCACAGGTAAATTCAGAGACATGGCACAGGAAGTGAATTCACATTTCCCCCCTTATGGATGTTATATTTTCCACAAGGTCAGTAGTTCAGATCTGCCAGATGCTCTTTGGGGGAAATAGGGGCAGTCTCTTTTTGTGCGTATTTAGGGTCAATCTCTTTTCATGAGTCCTTACAGGCCCGGAAAATCAATGAAGGGTCACCATGAATCAGAATTTACACAAAAGCAGTGACGTCTTGGGGTTTAATGTTCAGCTTACTTGTTTAAAGTGCTGGGTAAAATTTTTAAGTTCCAGAATTGATGTCTTTGAATGTTATTGGCTGATAATATTGAACATACCGCAGAGAGCTTGAACGAACCAACCTGTCTTGGAAATACAACCAAAATGCGCCTTAGAAGTGAAGATGGCCAAATTTCTCAAATATTTAGAACATGTTATCAGGAGGGACCAGTACCCGGGGAAGGACATCATTCTCTGTAGGAAGTGAGTCAAACGGGAAGGCGCAGGGCAAGATGAATTGGCGTCCTGCGATGGACTCCAACGTCCCTACGCCATCGAGTGGGTTATGGCTTGGCGAGTCTGTCTGGTGCAGGGCTAGGCAGTCTTTATGCCGTAAGACATCAGGTGACTGAGCCATAACCAACTTGATGGCACCAAAGAAGGCGGTTAGAATTCTCTCTTCTTGCTCAGAGGTCAGTTTGCGTACCCATTGTTCAAACGTCTCCACAGCTAAGCTTCAATGCCCTCCTTCCTGTACCAGGTGTCTTCTGTTGGTAACTCCTGATTCACCCACTCACCCTCCACCTCAACCCTGAGACTAGCATTAATGGGGTACCCCTGGGTGGTGGGTGGGCTGCCTCTGAGGTCGCCACTGGATTATGAAGGCAGGATGAGTAAGTTGGCTTCAGCCCCACAGGGACGTCCCAGCTGGCTGTGGCCCTCGTTGAAGGTTCTTGACACAGGAGGGCAGCCCTTTCCCTGAATTCCAGAGCGAAGGGGTCAGGTCTTTGCTTCAGACTCTTTACACTGAAGTCTGAGATCCCAGGTCCCAAGTGCTTATCTACACTGTGAGGTTGCTTCAAATGCTTCTACCTTCAGGTGGGGGTCTGTGGGCCTCCCCACCCTTCCCTGAAGTTGAACATGACCACGCACGGTCGGGACAGCACAGGTCAGGGAGGCTCCCATCACCTCGAATTGGAGTGCTGTCCACTTTCTCCTGGTTTCTGTGACTCCTCCCCAACCTTCACTCCTCTGGGTGAACACAGTAAAAGAACAGGTCCTGGGAGAGGAATTGTGGAGAACTGGGGAAACTTTCGAAGCAAGTTTGCCTTTTTAAGGTATTAGACACTATGTGCTCATCACTCTTTTTTTAAAAAATATTTCATACTGGTTTGCTTACGAAGTTTATATACATTGTTTTTCACACTGATCTTTCCCATTTCCTTTACCCACCCCTCCCTCTAGCCATTAAATTGTACGACCCTATGATCACCCCCCTGCCCATTCTCACCCCTCTGCTCCTACTCTCCCCCCTTGGATCCTCATACTCCTTTTTATTAGTTTTCTATTTCTACAATAATCGTCTTATACAGTATTTGTCCTTATGAGACTGAGTTAGTTCCCATAGCATAATGCTCTCCAGTCGCTCCCAAGTTAATCATTTTTTAAATCATTGCTCCTGATGGTGGTATCCCATCATGTGAATGTACGACAATTTCTCAATACATTCCATTGTGGTTGGGCTGTTGCCATGTTCTTGTGATGGTGAATAACACTGCTACGAACCTGATGTACAAATCTGTTTATGTCTCCTTTCTCATTTTCTCGGGGTATATTCAAAACAGTGGAATAGGTGGATCACTTGGAACTTCTATGTTCAGGTGAGGAAATGCCAAACTGCCTTCCACAGTGGTTATACCATTATACAATCTTATCAACTGTGTCTAAGAGTTCCTATCTTGCCACATCCTCTCCAAAATTTATTACTTGCTGTCCTGTTAAAACTTGGCTGCAGCTACTAGGGTGAGATGGTATCTAATTGAGGTTCTGATTTACACCTCTCTTATTGCCAATTGATTTTGAGCATTTCTTCATTTGTCTGTTGGCCATCCAAGTATCTTCAACTGTGAAAGGTCTTTCCATGTTTTTTGCCCACTTTGTAATTGGGCTATTAGTTTTTTCTTGTAGAGGCCCTAAAGGATTTTGTAAACTTTCGTTATGAGACTCGCGTCTGAGACAGTATTGTTATGTTTTCTTCCCCAGTAAGTTTTCTTTCCACTTTGGAAAATGTTTTTGATGCATGCAGGGTCTTTTCTTTTGAAGGTCACATTCAATTCTATCCTCGCCTGGTTGTTTATTTTTGACTGTATTTGTCAGCCTTTATACCATGAACTGGGCCTTCTAAGTTTGGTCTTATTTTCTTTCATAATCTTTATGGTTTGGGGCTGTTCATCACTCCTTAAGTCTGAACTGTTTATAAGTATTAAACAAAATACGAAACCAAAATGCATACGCAATGTTTAGCCCTGGAGTTTCAAATCCAATTTCTTTTAAAATTATGTATATTTATTTACTCCTGAACATTCTCATTTTATATTATGGTTCTTCTAGCAATTTTTGGCATATCAGTGCCCTCTGCTGGGAAGTTAATACAATGGAAGTTTTTCAGCGACCAAAAATGCCTGTTTGGGGGAAAAGACTGTGTGAATGTTTGCTTTAAGAGATTAGCCTTAGTTTAAAATCCATATGGTGGCAGAGTGTGCTGTGTTGGTTTTCCACCTGCAAGGTCATCAGCCATTCAAGTCAATCTTGTCCTGTGAAATAGCCTCAGACCCCAACAGAGAGTTGCCTCAACATATCTGACAACAGTGAATTTGATTTTGGTTTAAAACGAAGTAGAAAAAAATTTAACTTTCACATTATCCTCAACATAAGCCTCAGTCACTTACAGTGATGGAAATAAAGCCAGTTTAGTATGTAATTAAATAATGCACTAAACACTGCTACTACTTTAAACCCACTGACGTCAGAACCTGTGTAAGGTGAGCTGTAGTCAGGGAAGGAAAGCATAATCATTACCCACTGATGGGAAGGGTGGGGAGGAAATGTGACCCCACAATCAAGGGCAGAAAGTTTCCAGGCTACGAAGGAAGGCTGTCTGTCTGAGGCCCAGCTCTTGGAGGTCTCACTGTAGTACATCCCGAGGTTTCCCAGAAGTATCCATTTGCTGTTTGAGTCTCAGCTGACCTCAACATTAGAGCTGTATTCTTTTTGAAAACCTATGTGACTGGCCTATAGGTAAGACATGCTGGATATTTCTATATTGCTATGTTGTTGTTGTTATGTGCCGT